GCTAGCTTCACCTCCCTGGCACGTGACCATGTTTCACATGGTGGTCCTGCCTGTGCACCTAGAATGTGGCCACTACGGATGAGTACAAGGATTTTTGCAACCAACTCATCAGAAGCAAGGTTGCATAACTTTGCATTATGGACTACATCAAGGCAAATGACAAAGATGCGAAATGGCTGCCCTACACTCATTTCTTCAAGATGGCGGCGCATGCTGCCCTCACGGTCTCTGCCAGAGAAGAGGTGAAGCACAAAGTATGTACGAACCCCTTGGAAATTCATGGCAAGCGGATGTACCACTGGCGCCTGGGCAGTGAACCTGGTGCTAGCGCTGTCATCTTGTGCAGTCATTACATCCATTTGGTGAACAGAGGTATTGGGCGTGTGTCCTGCCTTGCGCAGGTTGGGCTTGCGCGTGTCCCGGCGTGCTCGCAGGGCTGGTGCCGCCCGCCAGAAGAGATCGATCTCTTCTGGGGTATAGTCTTTGGCATTACTCTGCCTCCACTCAAGCTTGTTAGGGAGTCTCGCACCTGCCAGGAGAATGCAAGGGATCCTCTTGTGTCCTTTGAATCTGCTGTCAAGCTTTATGTCAACCGGGGGTCCTGTGAGCGGCTCTAGATTCTGGAGGCAGAATTGCATGCATCGAGGGTTCTCCCGGAGATGAACATTGACCCGATGGGAGGTGTGAAATTCAACGAGACATACCACACAGTGGGAGGCATATGTGTATGCACGTGTCTCTGAAGAAATTTGATGGGCATGCCACTGATGTGCCGAGAGCCCCTGTCGGGTGGAGTACTCATTGCCGCACAGGTCACATCTGTGACCAAGTGGGCATGTCGGCGTGTCGGGTTGCCTACGCTCAACCTGCAAACCTATCTGCCCGATGGCACCATCAAAGTTTTCTCGCCCGTGTTCCAGGTCAGCCAGCAAGGTCAACTGTGTGACAGCAGCTTGACAAGCCTTGATTGCGTCCCTCTTCCACACATTGCTGCTTTTAGCCACATAGGCAAACAACTGGACCCAAGTATAGGTGGTTGACAAGCCATTAAATGCATCAGGCAAGACTTCTCTAACAGCTTCGATGTCGTGTTGGACAAGGGTCAACCATGCACGCGACTCATTGACTTTGTACTCGTTCAACAGAAGCTGACTCAAGAAGGCAGGGGCACCAGTTTGAAGGTGAACAAGATACCGCAATCTCATGTTACGCATCTGCCACTCAAGAGAAGGACATCTGGCTTTGGCGAGGACATACAGGTTTGAGTGTTTTTGTCCATACTGTGTGACACACAAACCTGTAGCAGCCCTGAGAGCTTTCATGTAAAAGCCACCGATGGCCTTCGCAGAGCCACCATCAAGCACTCCACATGCCTGTGCGCCATAAAGGAGTTTACTGAAGACCGTGGCTTCAACAAAGGTGACTTTTGCAGTGACCGAAATGCCTTTGTTTCTGAAAACTCCAATCTTCAATTGGTGCAAGGCCTGGGCAGCTAGTGCTACACGTCTCCGTGTTTCCTCCCTCAATGTGGCATCCGGCGCGACCAACCCTCCCAAATGACAATATGAAGGCACAACTGACAAGTTGACACTGCTCCCATCAGCTTTGGCAACTGGCAGCACCGATGAATTTTCAACAAGGAGTCTTCTGCGGGCTGTCTTCGCTTTGGGGCCTGCGAACTGAATCAAGGCTTCAGTCTACCTTTATCCATGCTGATAGAAAGACCTACACTTTGAAATGCAGCCTCAGTTATGTTGACAGCTTTGGCTAGTTTGTCAAGCACTTCATCTTCAGAGGAGGCTTCAATGCAAGCAACCACATCATCTACCCAGGTGAGGGTGGGAAATGCTTGAGGGGCGACTTGAGACGGGAGGTGAATGTAACTGTACATAGATCCCACATCTCAAAATCGGCTTGTATGTCATTCACAACTGCAGCCACAGCCACATTGAAAAGCGCATCAGCCAGGGGTGTTCCTGGACGAGACCCCTGGCAACTACTGGCAATCTGGCCAGTGAGCATATCTCTCATCCATGTGGCATTTTGGCCATCGTTGAGGTGCTGCAGTAGTACTTTGGATATGCCATTCAGGACTTCGGGATGCTCACTGCTATGCAAGCTGGCATACTGTTCATGCACGGACGGGTCGAGGGTCTCAAGCAGCGAGGCAAACTGATCACTTGTGCGATGAGATCCTACAGCAGCTTCTCGTATGACTTTGTAAAAGGCAGATTTGACATCGAGGAACAACACTGCACAACATTTATGCTTTATGTTACCAATCTGCAGAAAGGTGCGCACTGCATGAGATGCAAAGCATGGCTGGCTGCCCTGCTTTCCGCCAAGCTGGGCCACTGGCATTCGATGGCCAACTTGCTGCATAAGCTGATGTCTCTGGATAGCTTGGTGGCATTTTGATGCAGTAGTGGACAGCAAAACACTGCGATAGCTGGTGATCTGGTCCTTGGGTCCTTTGGACTTCCAAAGCGACACTAGGGTACCACCCCGAAAAGTGAGAGGCTGATGGGCATATACGCTGGCCTTCAACATCAGGGGAAACCATAAGTGGGCTGCCTCAACATTGGCAATCGAGAAAAGCTCAGATACAAGCAGGTCCTCGCCTGGGGCTTTACCTGATTTGACACGAGCCATTGCGGTTTCAACGTGTACTTTGGTATACAAGTCATCAAGTGCAATGGGGCCACTTGTTGTGAGCAAGTCTTGCGAGGTCTGGCATTGCTGGACTAGTTCCTCAGGTGGAACAACTTTCCCACTTTCAATTTCAGCAAAGTACTCAAGGGCCTGATCTGACACTGCAGCAATTGGCATGGCTTTGCGGTTCTTCATCTGTTTGGACTTAGGAAGCAAGGGTCGCATCTCCTTCCATAGGTCGTTCATGCCACCGTGGCTTTCGGCATCGCGAGCATTGGCAGCAATGCGCTCGGCATATTCAGCTCGGCAGGTCTGCATTGCTTGGTGCAATGCCTGGCGCACTTGCTTGAGCTGCTTCATCTGAATGGCAGTCTTATGGTGTATCTGCTTAATTGCACAGGATGTAGGCGAGGGCGTGGTTACATCTTTCCATGCCTGAAAGCAGCACATAATGTACAGATAACGTTCCTGAAGAAATGAGCGGTTGGTGCACCTTTGGATGCGTCGCTTTTCATTCAAGAGTTCAATTGCGATCTGACTTAGATACGGTCTTACTTTACTCTTCTGCTTGGGCAGCGAGTGGGTGGCTTGCTCCTTCATGTCTTGCTCTATGGTAAAGGCATGTTGGTGCACATTCTGTGTGAAGCAGCTCTCGGCACAAGGGACACTGGCCGGAACAGCGCGGAGGGCTGTGCGCCACACTTGCACGTCATCAGAGCAGGCCGGAATTGGCCTCCTGTATGGCAGTGCTTGCCTTGGCTTGTCTTCACACCTATGGGGGACACTGGTGTATTGACACTGCAATGTAACAGCCTGGTGATCAGGTCTGTTAATCTGTAAGTCAATCTGCATTTCAACACTGGATTGCATCTGAGCGTAATGCAAGTACGACCTGGGAACAGCAACATAGTCAATCCTGTGCTGGGTCAGCTTCGGACTTGTGAACGTGTAGGGTGTACCTTGATGGAGTCCCTCAAAGGTTGAAGGTAAGCACAGGCCGAGGCGTTGTACTACTTCTGAAAAAGCAACACCACTGGGGGATGTGGGTTGGCCTTGATGTGATCCTATCACTCCATGCTGCTCGGGCATCACATGGTCTCCAAGTGTGGCATTGGCATCGGCAAGCAACACTATGTCCCATGACGCATCATAGTTGTTGGTGCATTGGACGATTCTATCCCAATACATGCGGTATGGCTCCTGATCCTGCTGCTGAACAGGTGCATGCGCCACAACAATGATGCTCTTGTAGTGTGCATTTTTGGCTCTTACTACAAGGAGCTCTGGCTCAGCCTGAATTACTTTGAAGTGGTCACTCTCAAAGAAATGGGGATTGCCTAAGCGGTCATGGCCAAAGGGGATCTCAAGGTTTACCCAGAGGGCAACTCCACCTCTGCCTTCTTTGGCTGCACTACTTAGTCGGAACCATCCTTTGTACATTCCAGAGCACTCATGCCTCGCTCTAGTTTCCTGAAGTCCAGATATGTTGACACATTGTTCAGCAAACTGTTGCATGAGAAATATTTCTCTGGGATTGGCAAGGGGCTCACGATTGGGATGTGCCTTTTTGGCCTCCTTTTGAAAGTACCCTGGCAGTAGTGTAAGTACGTTGGCCGTCGCATTTTGGCAAACTGATCGGCAATTCCTTGAACGGGAATTTCAGGCATCGGGGGGATTATCAGTTCACGTGTGGTGGTGTCTAGGCGTGGAAGTGATGGATCATTCCATGCAGCTTTGTGCACCAGTCACATCCATTGGCAACTGATCGAATCCGCACGCAACTGGCAAAGGATCTGCGTGATGTGTCTGCTACTCACTTGGATCAGGCCTGCACAGGCTTGCCCAGCAAGGACATCAACTGCTTCGTTGAAGGGTTCACCTGAATGCGCTTTAACATGGATGTATTCTGGCATTCTCCAATTTTCAAGCAGTTGGAACAGACTACGAGCAGTACTGCCAAGCGCATGCTTGCTGGTGGTACGTGATCTACCTTGACACATTCTTCCAGCTTCATTGGAGTCATATCGAAATGTGATTTCAATTTCAGGACTGAAGTGAGCCACAATTTGAATTGCCCACAGACATGCACACATTAAACCTTCAAGTTCAACTGGAAATGCACTATCGGGTTGATTGGTGTGGCCAGCAATGTGTCCTCCCCACACTCGACTTTGATCCGGCATGTTCCACAACATTACAACAGCCCAAGATCCTTTGCCCCAGATTTCGTCCTCAACTGGATCTCTGAATGTACCATCAGTGTAGAACGTGACACCAATGGGTTCCTGGTCCAGACACGTTCTGAGGTATGTGAACTCCTCTATGGTGGAGTGATGCCACGGAATATTTTCTGTGTCAAGGGAAGTCATGTGATTGGGCCATGGATCAAGAACTTGAGTGGTGAGTTGTAGTACATTGTCTACATTGATCCTATTCAAGATGTCCTCGGTGGGTGTGTGATCAACATGGTCGGCCGGCCTGCTTCCTGCACTCGGTGTGAAATGGACTGGTGCTGGAATGTGTCCCCCTGTTGCTTCGACAAGGATGCCAGAGTGTAGATCTCGCACTTGGGTGTCATTCTCTGGCCACAGGCATCCTCCAGTCTTTATGTGGACCTGCGTGTGGGGATCTGGATATTCTTCTGCAAGGGCTTGCTGGAGCACATGGTCACGGGTACACTGTGCTGGAAGGGCAATGGGCCAGTGGGTGATCCGATGCGGGGCTCCAGGTGAGTGCTTGTGATGATTCTGCAACAGTGCCGGAACAAGCATGCGGTGTCTCATCCACTGGAAGTGGTGAGGAGACCAGGCCAGGTAGGCATCAATGGTCTCGCTTTTGATGGGTTTCTCAACTCCCCATCCCAACGTTGTCGGTTCTGAAACAATCTTCACGTACCTGACATCCTCCGTGTTGGTGACATGCTCCAGAATGGACTGAAACAGAGCATCTTCGCAAGCATTAGGCACAAGGACACGTTGAGGGCGAGTAGATTGAGCATCGGCTCTCCATAGGTGGATGGTCCTCATGCTGTCACTGGAGCTTGGGTTCGGCACACGGCTGCGGCTTTTGAGACACGACTGCAATTTGGCATTGCTTGGTACCTCTTGTCTCCTTTTATTCAGGGGTGCTTTGGGATGAAAAAACAGGGTTTCAGGAGTGGTGTTAAATCTCACAGTTACAGCGGCATTTTCTTTGTGCTTTTTACGGGTGCTGTCAACTGGACAATTTCCAGGTCTATGGGTATTCCTGAGTGATGCTTCCTGGATGGCATCACTCATAAGGCACACTATCCCTGCTTCTCATCCTCATCTTCTTCCTCATCTCCATTCTTCTGCAGCGATGCGTAGCGGTTGTGGCTGGCAGATCTGCTGCGCTCACGCTTGTGGGGCTCGGCATTCTGCTTGAACTGGAGTGGGGACTGCTTGATCTTTTCGTCGGCTTTTGGTTTCTTCTTCGGGGGCTCCTTGGGACCCCGATCTTTGGCTTTTTTGCTTTTGTTCTGCTTGTCCTCAAGCTGCGTTGGCTTGTCTGGTGCTTCTGCTGGTGTGACAGGCTCTATTGGGTCATCATCCTGGTCCTCTTGAACTTCCATGGGCGTAGGTGCTGGCGGTAGTTGGAGGCCTGGAAGCTCGGATAGAGCTGTGCTGTCCTGTGATGGAAGCTTATCATCTCTGGTTTCAATCTGTGCAGCTAGGGAGTGCAGTTGGCTTGTGGCGCTTTTTTCATCATCCATGGCTTTGTTGAGCACCTCGGTCCACTGTTGCTTGCTTGAGCTGTATGCCTGGCACTGTTCTTTGTATCGAGCATTAATGCTGGTCTCAAAGGCAGTCCATGACTCATCAAGGGCGTGGAGTGCATCTCTTGCCTTGGTTGCATTGCGCTGTGCTTTTGCTAGCTGTCTTCCTGCTTTGTGCACTTGTGATGGAACCGGTTTCTCATCCTCATCTTGTGCTAAGATGGCCGTGATGCTTTCTGCAGTGCTTTTGCCGTATGTTTGCTTGATGGCCTCGAGCAGCTTGGTTTTGTCGGTCTGCAGGGTTGTCTCCTTGACTGGTGTCATGTCAGGCTTGACTGGCTTCTGCTGTAGGTCCGACTTGAAATCCTCCTTGGCTGCACTGGTGACATCCTCCCAGCTGGTGGTCGTCACAGGACTGTCACATCCTGTGTTGCCATGCTGGGATTGATACGTGGCAGTTGGGGATCTGGCTCGATGGCTTGCATTGCTTTGTGGTGGCTTGGGAAACGCAGGGTTCTCTGGTTCCTTCTCACTGCGTTGCTTGTTGCTGGTTGCTGAGGGGCTTCGGCTTTTGCCTTTCCCTTTGCCTTTCTTGGTTTTGCCTTTGCCTTTGGCATTCCACGTGGGTGGTGGCCTCGAGGTCTTGCGGGGCTGGCGTTGCTGGTGCCATGTCATGGGCGTTGCCCAGTTGGACCAGTGTGATCCACATCCTCCGCAGTATTCGGCATGCTCACCATTGGTGCCGGAGCATTGCATGCATTGCCAGCGCATGTGTGCACTTCTGTTCCAAGAGTGGTGTGCTCTCAGCTTAGATCGTGCCCAGCTGACAGTGTGTCGGTTGACTTCCGGCGGTGTCCTGCTGTTAAGGATGAGTATGATCCTTGCACGAGTGCGTTTGCGTCTGGCGCGCCTGTGGAGAGCGCTTTCAGAAGATCGCACTATGGCTTCGCAGGAAAAAGGAAAAAGACGCGGGCTCAGCTATTCAGGCCACGCTTGGGTCTCGGGCAAACCCCAGAGCCGAGACGCCTGGTCCAAACCCAAAAAGTTTAAAGTGCAAGGAACTCAGGGCGTGAGCAGTCCTGCAGCAGTCAGGGTGGATGAAACCCTATGGAAAAACACACACCAACCGGTGTGAAGAGGATTTTGTGCATCCCCAGTATTCCGCATGGGCTAGGTCCTCCAGTAGAGAGGTTAGAATAAGTTGGTACCTTTTTGTCTCTAGTTTATTGTAGTAGTGGAACCGAATCTCCCCCCAAAAAAGAACCGGTTTTCAGGGCACTGGGGGATCTAGGTCTCTCGGTCCTGAGCTTGCAGAACTCTTGGAGGATGTCCAGGGACGAGTTGTACTTGGCGATCTTGCCCTCCGCGTCGAAGAGGACCATGTTGGACCTCAGGCCCCGCAGAAAAACAGAAAAAAAACAACGGCTTGGGAGAACCTCAGGAGCTAAACAATTAGGATTCGTTTCCTCCAACCATTACTAGAAGATTGATTTTGAGACATAGCAAAGCCATTGCCAATTCGAGCCTCATAAACAAAAACCTAGGCAAGGGACCAACCAGTTGTTCCAACAAGGTAGTGCAAGCAACCACTCTCAAGCTTCCAGGAACCACGGGTCACAGGATTTCCCTTTCAGTTGGGCTCCATTGAGCTGCCACTTGGGTGTGGGTCAACATAAACCCACCAGAAAGCTGCAGGCTGTTGGGTCCATGCTTCCAGTTGCCAGGGTGGCATTCTGGGTATCTATTTTTGACCCACACCCACTTCTGGAGATCCAAAAACTGAAATTGCGGGACCGAGTCAAGTGAAGAACCCCGCTCTCCGATTTCGGCGCCGTCAGAAGTCAAGGCGGTGGTTGTCTAACATCCCACGGCCCATGTCCATCCCTAACCTCAAATAAGCAGATCTCTTCACCATGGCACTTAGAGATTTCGGATTTTTGAGCTTGTAGAGTTTCGAGGTAAGCATGGCCTGCCCAACTATGAAGACCGAGCATCTACCTTCCTCCAGCCCCTCCAAAATGAAGTCGAATGAAAGAACAACGATATACCTTTGAAGGAAGCATGCCGTATGTCTAAATGTCTTAAATGTCGCATCAACAATGCCTTTTGCAAAATCTTTCATAAGAGGAAACCCAACCCCTGAAACCCATGGAAACGAAAAGGCAGTGAGCAAGCGTCGACGAATCAACCTTCTCTCCGCTCGTTGAGGGTCCACACGTGGAGATGGAGGATTTGAGCTTGAAAGTCTTCTCCTCAGGTGGTTTCCCTGCGCGAGCCTTTGCAATATTGTCTCGTCCATGTTTGAACCTCAACACGTGAACGCGTATGACAAGAAGTTATTGCTTGGCTTGAAATCAAGGCTTACTCCCCTGCACATTAATATAACATCCAACAAAGGGGAAGCACGCCAGACAAAGAATTCCTTTGAGAAAGGTGCGGTTTCCATGTTGATCCGAAGAAGGAATGTACTCGCAACCCGTGGTATTCCATGACAAAAGAGCACTAAACCTTTTTCCGAACGGGTGGACAAACCAGAAAATAATTCTGCAAAGAACCAACAGATCGTGGGTGGACTCGCTTGTTTCATCCCAACCCATCTAGGCAAGAGCCTTCGAAATGGGAAGGTGCGGTACTTAAGAACCTGACTTGGTCCTGCAAACAAGTAATTGTCTAGCCGGCCCCTCATTTAACATTCTTGTCATCATATTTATCCCCACTCTCACACATGGACGGACAATCCCTGCCTGCACCTGTTGGTAGGTGGCTTGTCCCAGAAATGGAAACATGACTACCCCAAACAAACAAAAACACGACACCCACATTTTCCACAAAGAAACCCCCGTTTCAGCCCGAAAGGGCCACCGCGGCATCGCATCGGGTGGGTTGGTTCTGTGACCTCCTTCCTCTCGCTGAGGACGGCGCCAGCCCGGCTTTCTCCGCCTCCTTCAGCTTGGCGGCGCTCAGAGTGATCTCGAAATGCACTGAGCCTTGACTGGATGCTCTCGATGACTCGACATATTATGAATGCCTGTACCCCCCCCTTCAGATAGTTGGGTCCTATCCCTAGGGGCGGTTAGGAAGTGGATGTATGAGCATTTTCCTTAAGACTTCCTAAGCTGAAACTAAGAAACCCCTTGATTTTGATCGGAGATTCGAGCTGCCTTACTTTGCTGCGTCTCCCGAACCTAGGGAAATCATAAGAGATTCGAATTGCTCTTTCTGAAAGTGCTGCGTCCCCCCAAGCTTTCCGCAAACATGCTTCCACAAGGTTTCCTAAGGCTTCCCTAGGGCTTCCCTAGGGCTTCCCTAGGACTTCCCTAGGGCTTCTCTAAGGTTTCCAGCTTCCCTACCGCTTTCCTAAGGCCTCCCTAAGGCTTCCCCAAAGATTCGTTAAGGCTTCCCTAGGCTTCTCTAAGGCTTCTTTAAGGGTCCCTTCCCAACCTAATTTGCGGGCTTGGGCGGTAGTTCTTGTCCAATCAGCTTTTCACGGTTCCCCAAGAGGCTCCCTAGTGTTCCCGCCATGCGCAGGGCGAGTGTCAGGCCAAGCTTCCCCAAGGCTTCCGCAAGGCTTCCGCAAGGCTTCCTAGGCCTCCCCTGCAAGAGAAGCCCTTTAAGCTTAAAGGGGGGGGCTAAAGGAGAGGGAAGGGGTACGGGCTCCATAAACATACGAGCGTCAGGGTTGGCTTGAAAAAAGAAAAGGTGCGCGCCAAAACCCATGTGCGCCAAAAGAAAAGGTGCCAAAATCATATTTGCTCATTTTGGGGGGAACCTCTCAAAATGGATTCTGGCTTTCATTTTGGTTCCTTTCCCGAACAAAAACACCAAACAGGGCACCAAAAAGGGTACCAACTCCAAAAACAAGGCACCACTGAAGCTCTGAACAAGTGCTTGCGAGCCAGTGACTTCCTGTCACTTTGATGCTCCGTCGTGTGAAGGGAACCAAAATGAAGCCAGCCATCTTGTTTGGCATGACAGCCTCCAAAGGTGATGTTGAATACTGTGACCCCCCACACACACACACACACACACATTTCGGGGCCATGCTGGATGCAGCGTCCACTCTACACCTTAATAGTTTCCACAGGAATGTTTTAAACACTGGTCTGACCAAAGCCATGGTAAACAATACACAGGTGGATATCCGCAGATATTTGGGGTTGCAACTGAGCTCTACAAGTCTTCAAGTGCTCAGGTTTTGATTGTGGCTGGGAGTTGCGCTGGCCAAACATATCCCCGGGTATGAGTCCCTAAGAACCGCAAGGGCTTAAACACATACAGGGCAATATAGGTGTAACACGGCAATATAGGTAGCAAGGTCATGTAAACGTATTTCTCAAGCGGAGGGGTACCTTCACCAGGGCACGTGATTGCTCGCCTTTGCCACGGTGTTTCAAACACCGCTGCTTTCAGCACTTCAGGCAGGCAATCGCTACATGTGTGTCCCAACATTGACCCCACAAAATGGGTAGTTTCATTTTGGCTTCCCTTTGTAACAAAAAACGGCATCCAAAACAAAACTACGCATCCGAACTCTCCCTGCAAACTACACGGCCAGCTGTATGTCCGACCCCACCACCAAAAATCGTCGCACCCTCCCCAACATGTGCATGCCCTTCAGTGCAGTGTCAATGTTCGAGGGAAGTGATTGAAACTTCGGGCATGTTTGAAAAGGACACTTGGGCTTGTCTTTATCTCAAACCGCAAGGAAAACAACCATTTGAAAACGACAACCCCCCCCCCACTGAGACAAACCTGTCTGTACTGCTCCAAATCGTGTAAGCCGAAACATGGGATTCCCTGTGGTTTCCCTACGGGGGCCACTGGATTTCAATTTACTGGTGGGTGCCAGTGAAAATGCAACTTTAAACGCCCAAAAATTGGTTGACATTGAGGGCCGCCAGCCTGAATCCCCACATTGGCGCCACCCAAACCTCATGGCCCAGTTTTTGCTGGACTGGGCTGCTGGCTTTCGCTGTGATGCTCCCGGAAGTCTTCGATCAAATAGTCTGACTCCTCGCCTGGCGAATGTCCCCTATCCCAAGAATGGGTGGCTTTCCTCTCAGCTTCCCTGCAAAGCTGTGTGAACAGAGGATACCCTCGACAGGCACACCCAGATCCCGCAGCGATTTCCAGTCACGCTGCTTCTCCCGCCGAAAAATCGAGTGCCACAGTTTTTATCCCATGATCTCAGTCTCGGGGGGCCCAGGGATCTGGAAGAACATGGGGCCGACATCTCTTTCGGTGAACGAGGAGAAAAATTGGAAGTCTGCCATAACTCTCATGATAAGTGGGTACATCTACTTGGAGGTACGGAGAGAAAAACATGGGTGCCAGGAACACGTGCCAGACTCTGATAAGTGAAAATTGAAAACGCGAGGACTGTTGTGTGTGGGGAATCACGAATAGCATTTCGGGGTCCCCTAACTTGGAGAACGGAAATGAGGTGTCCGGGAAAAATGGGGAACATCCGCCGACCCTTTCTCTAAAAAGGGGAGGCGCACGGGAAGGGTGGTTGGCGCATCAGTATAGCCAAAGTTTCATCCTCATCAGCATCAGCAGCTGCAGCTACGATAAATGTTATCATCACGGTCATCGTGATCATCATCATCCTTATCATTATCTCTTTCTTATTCTCTCATCCTTATCATCATTATCATCATGGTTGTCGTCATCTCTTATCACGCAGCATTGGTGATGCAGAGGATGCTGCGACGATAGTTATCATCACAGCCGTTGGTGATGCTAAGGATGCTACGATGATAGTTATCATCCTTGTCATCATCTTTGTCATCATCTGATCATCACCTAGCATCATCTGATATCATATTACATATTATATGTGAAAATCAAAAGGGACGTCAGACATCCTTGGCATTGATGATGATAGCTATCAAGGAACAAGTAGTGATGCGGAGGATGTTGTGATGATAGTTGTCATGACGCGGATGATAACCATCAGCGCGCCCCCATTATCATCCTGGTCGTCGTCATCTCTTTTCGCGCAGCATTGGTGATGCAGAGGATGCTGCGATGATAGTTATCATCACAGCCGTTAGTGATGCTAAGGATGCTACGATGATAGTTATCATCCTCGTCATCATCTTTCTCATCATCTGATCATCACCGGGCATCATCCAATATCTTATTATACATAAAAATCAAAAGGGACGTTAGACATCCTTGGCAATGCAAAGGATGCGATGATGATAGCTATCAAGGAACAAGTAGTGATGCAGAGGATGTTGTGCTGATAGTTGTCATGATGCGGATGACAACGATCATCAGGCCCGTGCCATTATCATCATGGTCGTCGTCATCTCTTATCAGGCAGCATTGGTGATGCAGAGGATGCTGCGATGATCGTTATCATGACAGCCGTTGGTGATGCTCAGGATGCTACGATGATAGTTGTCATCCTCGTCATCATCTTTCTCATCATCTGATCGTCACCTAGCATCATCTCATATCTTGCTATATATAGAAATCAAAAGGGACGTCAGACATCCTTGGCAATGCCAAAGATGCGATGATGATAGTTATTAAGGAACAAGTAGTGATGCAGAGGATGTTGTGATGATCGTTGTCATGACGCGGATGATAACGATCATCAGGCCCCCATGATCATCATGGACGTCGTCATCTCTTATCAGGCAGCATTGGTGATGCAGAGGATGCGGCGATGATCGTTATCATCACAGCCGTTAGTGATGCTAAGGATGCTACGATGATAGTTATCATCCTTGTCATCATCTTTCTCATCATCTGATCATCACCTGGCATCATCTAATATCTTATTGTAATAGTAAATAGAAATCAAAAGGGACGTTAGACATCCTTGGCAATGCAAAGGATGCGATGATGATGGTTATCAAGGAACAAGTAGTGATGCAGACGATGTTGTGATGATAGTTGTCATGATGCGGATGATAACGATCATCAGGCCCGTGCCATTATCATCATGGTCGTCGTCATCTCTTATCAGGCAGCATTGGTGATGCAGAGGATGCTGCGATGATCGTTATCATCACAGCCGTTGGTGATGCTAAGGATGCTACGATGATAGTTGTCATCCTCGTCGTCATCTTTCTCATCATCTGATCATCACCTAGCATCATCTCATGTCTTATCATATCTTACTATATATAGAAATCAAAAGGGACGTCAGACATCCTTGGCAATGCCAAAGATGCGATGATGATAGTTATCAAGGAACAAGTAGTGATGCAGAGGATGTTGTGCTGATACTTGTCATGACGCGGATGATAACGATCAGCACGCCCCCATTATCATCATGGTCGTCGTCGTCTCTTTTCGCGCAGCATTGGTGATGCAGAGGATGCTGCGATGATGGTTATCATCGCAGCCGTTAATGATGCTAAGGATGCTACGATGATAGTTATCATCCTTGTCATCATCTTTCTCATCATCTGATCATCACCTGGCATCATCTAATATCTTATTGTATATAGAAATCAAAAGGGACGTTAGACATCCTTGGCAATGCAAAGGAGGCGATGATGATGGTTATCAAGGAACAAGTAGTGATGCAGAGGATGTTGTGATGATAGTTGTCATGATGCGGATGATAACGATCATCAGGCCCGTGCCATTATCATCATGGTCGTCGTCATCTCTTATCAGGCAGCATTGGTGATGCAGAGGATGCTGCGATGATCGTTATCATCACAGCCGTTGGTGATGCTAAGGATGCTACGATGATAGTTGTCATCCTTGTCGTCATCTTTCTCATCATCTGAGCATCACCTAGCACCATCTCATGTCTTATCATATCTTACTATATATAGAAATCAAAAGGGACGTTAGACATCCTTGGCAATGCAAAGATGCGATGATGATAGTTATCAAGGAACAAGTAGTGATGCAGAGGATGTTGTGATGATACTTGTCATGATGCGGATGATAACGATCAGCGCGGCACCATTATCATCATGGTCGTCGTCATCTCCTTTCGCGCAGCATTGGTGATGCAGAGGATGCTGCGATGATAGTTATCATCACAGCCGTTAGCGATGCTACGGATGCTACCATGATAGTTATCATCCACGTCGTCATCTTTATCATCATCTGATCATCACCTGGCATCATGTCATATCTTACTATATATAGAAATCAAAAGGGACGTTAGACATCCTTGGCAATGCAAAGGATGCGATGATGACAGTTATCAAGGAACAAGTAGTGATGCAGAGGATGTTGTGATGATAGTTGTCATGATGCGGATGATAACGATCATCAGGCCCGTGCCATTATCATCATGGTCGTCGTCATCTCTTATCAAACAGCATTGGTGATGCAGAGGATGCTGCGATGATCGTTATCATCACAGCCGTTGGTGATGCTAAGGATGCTACGATGATAGTTGTCATCCTCGTCGTCATCTTTCTCATCATCTGATCATCACCTAGCATCATCTCATGTCTTATCATATCTTACTATATATAGAAATCAAAAGGGACGTTAGACATCCTTGGCAATGCCAAAGATGCGATGATGATAGTTATCAAGGAACAAGTAGTGATGCAAAGGATGTTGTGCTGATACTTGTCATGACGCGGATGATAACGATCAGCGCGGCACCATTATCATCATGGTCGTCGTCATCTCTTTTCAAGCATTGGTGATGCGGAGGATGCTGCGATGATAGTTATCACAGCCGTTAGTGATGCTAAGGATGCTACGATGATAGTTATCATCCTCGTCATCATCTTTATCATCATCTGATCATCACCTGGCATCATCTAATAGAAATCAAAAGGGACGTTAGACATCCTTGGTGTTAAAACCCTCTAGGCCCCGTGCCGAAATTGGGTAGCAGTTCTGAGGTCCTTGTTGGTGTTGTTTCCCAAGTTCCGCTGATCGCCATTTGGCTCAAGACACAATTGAGGTTCAAGATCTGATGTGTGACTGCGGATATCCGTGATTGGCATTAGGAGGAAAACAACTGCTTGCGCCGCACTGTCAGGACTACTGTTGTGACTATCATTCCTTCTTCCTTACAACGTTTACACGGGTTCGGCTATAACGGCATCGTCCGTATACACCTTTCTACGTGGTTGGTATTAAAGCTTGAGGGTTCGGTGCACAGCGTCCCACGGGACGTCACCTTGCCGTCTCTTGACAGGTTATCAGCCGTATCTACAAGCTCTACACTGGACTGGGAGACAGCTGGTTTATTGCGGGTACAGGGACAATAAAGGAACGATAACCTACACAGTACAATGGCGTCTTCGGCGAGCCCAAGTACTGCAACTTTTGGGAACAGCAGCTCAGAGGGATCCAATGGATTGATGGCTCTTCCTGCGGTGATGGATATGGTTGCAGATTCACAGGATGAACCTGGGAGCGGAGGTTCCGCGCTATTCAGCGACATATCTACTCCCACAAGATCATGGAAGCAGATCGATGTTCATCAGGAGTCGAAGAAAAGAGAATCCCCACCGAGAAGATCATCATCTTCGCCTGCGACACCACGGACGTCGCAGAAGGGCGTGAGATCGACATCGAAGGGTGGGAGGTCAAAATCACCCACCAGTGCAGATTTTCGCGCCGTGATCAAAGAGAAGAATAAGATGGAGGTGGAGATCGGGGAATATCAGAAGACACTTGATGAAATGTCGGCAGCAATGGCGAATCTTAACCAAGAAGACTATGGAAGCACCATCCGGATCCAGGAGCTGGAAAGACGATGCGAGATTGCCAGCAAGCAGTCGGGACATCTAGTGAGTCACCACCAACACCACATGGCTGAGGCATGGCGCAAGTTTGAGGAAGAAGCCCAACAGATGCGCAAGGTGGAAATGAACGCATTTCAGTACGGGGAGAAGAAAGACATGGAGTCGAATATTATAATGCAACAGATGAGGCAAGCTGAAGGAACTATCATGGAGCAGAAGCGGGAGATTGCATTGATGAAATCCTACATGGCAAGCGAGAAGTCGGCCGCGCAGGAATCAGCTATACGTGCAAATCAGATACACCGTGAGGCTTCACAACAGATATCAGTTTATCAGCAACAGATCAGAGGCATAGAATCTTCTACATCTATCGAGAAGTTCAACGAGGAGGAGATGGTCCAAAGTCTGAAATCACAGTTGGAGCATGCACTCGTCAAGCGCCCCGAGACGTACTCTTTGGAGGACTCCAGGGAACAGCTGATGGCGAGGCTGAATGACGTTACAGTATTTGCGGAACAGGAATCGAAGAGAGCAGATTGCTTGCTTCGCGAAAAGGAAGAGATCGTCAAACAGTATGAGTCCGACGTGTCGATGAAGGACCA